CCGTCCACCCCCAAGGTTCCTGTCTAATCTTGGGAGTTACTGTTGTCAGTTTGGTCCCATGGAGCTAGATCTTAAAGAGCACAGTGCTCAAGACAGACATTCTTTACTGGTTACGCTGGTAGCTTAGTTGGTTACGAGTCAGGCTTCTAACCACAAGGCCATCATTTCAAATCTACCAGCCACTCCTCAGTACAAAGATGAGGCTTTCTGCTACTGGAAAAATTTGCAGCCCTGGAAACCCTATATGGGGTCGTTAGGAGTCGGAACCGACTCCATGGCACACCACCACCATCATTGTTTGCTTTTAAGATGACTTCAGGAAATATTTTTGATTTAAGGTTCAAAGATTTTTTTTTTAAAGGATAATAGCTTTGAAGGGTTATTCAGCTTCCATGGCTCCAGAAAACAGTCTGGGTTCCATGATAATTTGAAATTCTGTTCTACATTTCCCCCTTTTGATCAGGAGTCAGAAGAAATCGAATCTTTCATCAAATCCTTCAGTATTGCTCCCCGGGCACCATCCAGTTCTGGTTTCCTGGCAAAAGGGGCAGCTGTTCCTGGAGGAAACTAGCCACATATCCCATTTCCTCCTCTTGTTCCCCTCCTGTCTCCTTCTTCCTCTGTTGCTCCAGGTGAATACATTCCAAGGACTGTACTTTGAACAGCCACTTGAAAGGTATATTGTTGTTAGATGCCATCAAGTCGGTACTGACTCATAGCAACCCATGCACAACAGAACACTGCCCAGTCCTATGCTGACCTCACAATCATTGCTGTGCTTGAGCCCATCGCTGCGGTCACTGTGTCACTCCATCTCATTGGGGCTGTCCTCTTTTTTCTCCACTTTACCAAACATAATGACCTTCTCCAGGGTCTGGTCCCTCATGATAACATGTCCTAAGAATGAGAGATGAAATCTGGCCATCCTGGCTTCTAAGGAGCACTCTGGTTGTCCTTCTTCCAACACAGATTTGTTTGTACTTTTGGCACTTCATGGTATTTTTAATATTATGCACTAACACCGTAACTCAAATGCATCAATTCTTCTACAGTCTTTGTTATTCACTGTCCAGCTTTTGCATCCATATGAGGTTATTGAAGATACCATGGCCTGGGTCAGGCGCACCTTAGTCTTCAAGTTGACATCTTTGCTCTTCAATACTTTAAAGAAGTTTTGTGTAGCAGATTTGCCTAATGCAATATCTCGTTTGATTCTTGGCTGCTGATTCCATGAGTGTTGGTGGTTGATCTGAGCAAAATGAAGTCTTTGACAATGAAGTTTGACAATGAAGTTAAATAACTTCTTTGTAAAAGAAATGTTTAGAAGTAAATTTGAGATGATTCAAAGGTAGTTACTAGAGAAGAGTTTTATTTTTTAAGAGAATTTTAAACAAAATAGAATGTATTTTCTTTCCTTACCAACAAGAACAGGAAGAACACAAAGTAAACAATATAGTATTTTTTTTAGCTAAGGGTAAATATTCTTGGCATAGAAAGCATTCAAGAAAACATGAAGGTCAAAGGTCCTGGACTGAACGTTCTCACAAGAAGAGGTAAAAGGGACTAAGGATAACCTGAATGAGACATATGATGCTGCTTTGAAATTTTACTTCATTTTTTGTGTAAGGATACACAGTAAAGAGTACACTGTTTCAACACATTTTACGTGTACAATTCAGCACATGTAGAACTGTACATGAACTGGGAAGAACACACTCAGCATTTCTCAAGCTGAATGAACTGAAGAAAAATTCAAGCCTCAACTTTCATTATTGAAGGATTCCATACACAAATTATTGAATGATGCAGAAAGCATCAAAAGAAGATGGAAAGAATGCACAGAGTCACTGTACCAAAAGAAATGGCTGATGTTCAACCGTTTCAAGAGGTAACATATAATCTAGAGCCAATGATCCTGAAGGAAGAAGTCCAAGGTGCATTGAAGTCATTGTCAAAGAACAAGGCTCTGGGAATTGATGGAATACAAATTGAAATCTTTTAGCACTCACGGCACTCACTCATCTATGCCAAGAAGTTTGGAAGACAACCACTTGACCAACTGACTGGAAGAGATCCGTGTTTGTGCCCATTCCAAAGAGAGGTGACCCAACAGATGTGGAAATCATCAGACAGTATTATTGGTATCCCATACAAATGAAGTTTTACTAAAGGTAATACAGAAACATACACTGACAGAGAACTTCCAGAGGTTCAAGCCGGTTCAGTAGAGGATGTGAAACGAGTGATATCATTGCTGACATCAGATGGATCTTGGCTGAAAGCAGAGAATACCAGAAAGATGTTTACTTGTGGTTTATTGACCATGCAAAAGCTTTCAATTGTGTGGATCATAACAAACTATGGACAATATTGCAAAGTATGAGTATTCCTGAACACTTAATTGTGCTCATGAGCAACCTGTACATAGGCCAAGAGGCAGCTGTTTGAACAGAACATGGGAACACTGAATGGTTTAAAATTAGGAAAGGTGTGAGCCTGGGTTGTATTCTTTCACCATACTTATTTAATCTGAATGCTGAGCAAATATTCGATAAACTGGATTATACGAAGAAAAACGTGGTATCAGGATTGGAGAAAGACTCATTAACAACCTGCGAGATGCAGATGATGCAACCTTGCATGCTGAATTGAAAATGACTTACAATACTTACTGATGAAGATCAAAGACCACACACCTTCCGTATGGGTTGCATCTCAATGTAAAGAAAACAATCGTCACTACTGGACCAATAAATAACATCCATATCAATGGAGAAGAGATTGAAGTTGTCTTAAGACTTCATTTTGCTCATATTAGCCATCAACATTCATGGAAGCAGCAATCAAGAAATCAAATGACATACTGCATTGGGCACATGTGCTACACAAGACCTCTTTAAAGTGTCGAAAAGCAGTTTGAGGACTAAGGTGCATCTGACCCAAGCCATTGGTATTTCCAATAACCTCATATGCATGTGAAAGCTGGACAGTGAATAAGGAAGACCATAGAAGAACTGATGCTTTTGAGTTATGGTGTTAGAGGAGATGCCATGAGCTGCCAAAAGAGCCAACAGATCTGTGTTGGAAGAAGTGCAGCCAGAGTGCTCCTTGGAGGCCAGGATGGCCACGCTTGTTCTCTCATACTTCGGACATATTGTCAGGAAGGACCAGTTACTGGAGAAGGATATCATGTTTGGTAAGGTGGAGGGTCAGAGAAAATGAGGAAGACCCCCAATGAGAAGGATTGGCATAGTGGCAGCAGCGATGGGCTCATACAACAATTGTGAGGTTGGCGCAGGACTGGGCAGTGCTGTGCATAGGGTCACTATGACTCGGTACTGACTCGATGGCACCTAATAACAACCCCCACAATTTGGTAACAGTGTTTATAGTCTTAAGGAATCGATTTCTAAATTATTCTGCCACCTAAACATGAACTGAGGAGTGCAGTGGCTTGTAGTATAATCACTGGACTGTGAACCACAAGTTCAGTGATTCAAGTCCACCAGTTGCTCCATGGGAGAAAGATAAGGCTTTCTGCTTTTGCAAAGATTTACAACTTCAGAAACCCCATACAGGGCTGCTGTGAGTCAGAACCCACTTGACAACACTTAACAACAGCGAACAAACTCACTGCGCGCTGAGCTTCTCATGAAGACGTTGTGGTCAGCTTGACCCCACATACATACATCATAGAGCGACGGCGGTGCTCCAGGCGGGCACACTATATTCCAACGACTGTCTGGTTCAATCTTTTAAGGAAAGATTTGGCTCAAGGTCAAAGATGTTCTCAGGGCAGTAGTTCTAGGCATCACCCAGTGTCCATGGACTAGAAAGTCTGCATTCTGCTAAGAATTTAAATTCTGTTCAGTTCTTTTCCCCCTCTTCGGTCATGATTCCTCCCCATGATCTTAGTTCAAAACACTCCGCGTTTTCAATGCCAGCCCCAGTGCTGGGAGCTATAAGAAGGGGCTGTCTTTCTTACCTCCCAGTGCCCCGATGGCTTTGTGTGACCTTGTTAAAGAGTCTCTGGGCTACATTTGGCAAGAGCCTTAAAAATGAGGGGGTTTGAGGCCAGTATGCGTGTTTTTAAGTCTTCCCTAAGAACATCTGTGCACACAGAGGGCGACAGCTTTGGCAACGTTTAAATTCCCTTTATGGGAGCCAGCGCCCAGGATACAGACTTGCTGTGAGTTGGACTGAGTCAGCGACACTTTACAACAATAACTAATCACAAGGCTGCTGGCTCAGACCCAGCAGCCGTTCCTTGGAAGCCCTACGTGTTGTTTACATTGTTGTTGTTGTTGAGTGCCGTCAAGTCAGTTCTGACTCATTTTATTGTTGTTTAGAGTTTTCAAGGAGCAATTGGTAGGTTTGAACTGCAGACTTTGCAATTAGCAGTCCAGTGTTTATCTTAACAACCACACTAACAGATGAGTCAGAACCAACCCAACAACAAGGGGTGGGAGGGACTGGGAAGTTACTGGAAGGGTGCTGAGTTTCTGGTCAGGGTGATGAAAAACATTGGAAAATGGAGAGGAGAGTGCTGATGGGCTCACAACACGGTGAATTGTAAACTGAAAAATGGTCAAAATGACATTTTTTTTTTTTCCAGCTTAGGTGTAGAGAACAGGGGACAAAAGCTTTTTGATACATTTAAAAAGTCTTTTAACACTTTCCTCTGTCTTGTGTGTGTGTGTGTACAGTTTTCAACATAATCTAAACATGATTTAAAATAGACAAAACCAAAACCTATGAAAAATGTAATCTTCCCCTAGCAAAGTATTACTTGTGGGAAATTCAGTGCCGCAGACATTAGACCTGACCCAGCGGAATGTATTCCAAGGGGTGACGTTCCTGGGGTATCACCTGGGTCCTCTTAGAGGAAATGCCTCGAGGAGGTTTTAGGGCCTCGGTTTTGAAGGAAGGTCATTTGCCTTTTGTTATAAATAAGGGTGCGCAGACCTAAAGACTTACCGTATCCTGCACTTTCCCCCCAGTGACGGAACGTCCTAACCACGCCAAGGAGAGCTTGTATGAGATGAACATGGATAAATATGATGGGTGAGTAAGGCTTTTTTCATCCTGATGAACAGATGATAAAGGGGCCCCGGTGGCACGATGGTGAAGCGCTCAGCTGCTAGCAGAAAGGTTGGCTGTTTGAACTCACCCAACGGTTCCACTAGTGAACTGCTGCTTAGGAAAGCCTGTGGGGCAGCTTTGCTCTGTCACGTGGAACGCTGTGGGTCAGAGTCGGTCCATGGCATCACACAGCAACGTTGTTGTTGTTGTCAGGTGCCATCGAGTCGGAACCGACTCATAGCGACCCCATGCACAGCAGAACGAAACAATGTCCGAACCTGGGCCAACCTCACCACCGCTGCCACACTTGAGTCCATCAATGATGCCACCTGGCCAATCCATCTCGTTAGGGGTCTTCCTCTTTTTCTCCGACCTTCCATCCTACCAAGGATGATATCCTTCTCCAGCAACTGGAGACATCCTAATCACACAGCGAGAGGACATCCTAATCAAGTTTGACCTCCTCTTTTCGTTTTGTCAGCTCCCTTTCCTTTAGTTTCTGCCCAGTTGTAGAATGTGTTTCTTGTAGAAAACGTGGGAAAGGCCTGAAAGTTCAGAGTCAAGCCTTCATTCACATCATAGGACCACCATTGCTGACAAGTTCTGTGTTTTCCCTTTGGTGGTTCACGATACGTGCTTACATAGTTGTGATCAATGTAGTCCCTCAGCTGCTAGCCTGTAGGTTTGAGGTTCAGGTCCACCCAGAGGTGCCTTGGGAGAAAGTTCTCGCATCTGTTTCCTAAAAGTCATCCACGGAGAGCCGTGTGGAGCACAGTTCTACTCTGACACACACATGGGGCACCATGAGTGGAATCTACTTATGAAAACTCATCCATGGAGAACCCTGTGGAGCACAGTTCTACTCTGACACACACGGGGCACCATGAGTGGGATCTACCTATGAAAACTCATCCACTGAGAACCCTGTGAGCACAGTTCTACTCTGACACACACGGGGCGCCATGAGGGCAATCTACTTATGAAAATTCATCCACTGAGGACCCTGTGGAGCACAGTTCTACTCTGACACACACGGGGCACCATGAGTGGGATCTACCTATGAAAACTGATTCACTGAGAACCTTGTGGGGGGGGCCAGCTCTCTTCTGACACATGCAGGGTGCAGCGTGGTGGTACAGAACTAGAAATAACGCTGATTTAGTGAACTAGAGATGATGTTGTGCTTAACGTTTTGGATTGTGACTGGGTGCAGGGCTGCCACCCCCCCGTATCAGTCATCCACAGTAGAGGACATGAAGGGGAACTAGGTTCACATTCATGGATCAGGAACAGACACTTACGTGGGCGTACAGACGAGGCCCTCTTCTCTTTGTCAGTAGGCAGCCGTGCTGGGAGAATGGAAGGGGCTACACCTGGAGAGAGCTGTGGCATAAGGGAACAGGTATGAGCATCCAAGGACTCAGACTCATCCTGTACCCCGCCCCTTCTTCACTGCAGTGTGCCTCAGCAGCCTTTGTAACCTCTCTGAGCCTTAGACTCCTTGTAGGTAACCAGACCAGTTCCTGTAGAGTCCATCTTGACTCATGGTGCCCCCACCTGTGCCCCACAGGGTTCTTAGTGGATGAGTTTTCATAAGTAGATGCCACTCATGGTGCCCCATCTGTGTGTCAGAGTAGAACTGTGCTCCACAGGGTTCTTAGTGGATGAATTTTCATAAGTAGATTCCATCATGGCGTCCCCGTATGTTTCAGAGTAGAACTGTGTTCACAGGGTTCTCAGTGGATGAGTTTTCATAAGTAGATTCCATCATGGTGCCCCCATGTGGTCAGGGTAGCACTGTGCCCACAGGGTTCTCAGTGGATACTTGTTTTGAAGCAGATCCCGGCCCTTTCTTGCAGAAGTGGACTTGAACCTCCAGTCTTTTGCTTAGCTTCATCTTGTAGCTCACAAGTCCTCTTGGCAGGGATGCTGAGTGTGTCATCTGTGTGTAGTGACCATGAGCTCCCCCTCACCTGCGTGCAGGCTCTAGAGAGATGTGATTGATTGAGTGGGTATGTGAGCCATATGGACAAAGGACACTGGCAGTGGGTGGTCACCAGGGGACAAGTGGGCACAGTCAATGGCTGTCACGGATGGGGGCACAGTGGACCACTACTGCCACTGCAGTGACAGGCGGCAGGGCACAAGGAAGGGGCTGGACACTTAGCCACCCTCCTCGTCCTTTCAGGGAAGACACCACAGACCCGAATGCCTGGTGAGGATATGAGATTTTCTAAGGCTGTGCTCTCCCGCAGAATTGTCTGTGTTGGTGGGGATGGTACGTTCAGCGAGGTTCTTCACGGCCTGATTGGAAGGACGCAGAGGAATGCCGGCGTGGATCAGAACCACCCCCGCTCCACCCTGGTCTCCAGCCCCCTCAGGATTGGCATCATCCCCTCCGGTAAGCCAGTCTCTGTTGGGGCCTCCTGCTCTCCATGTAGTTCCTGTGGATGTCCTGCAGGGGCGCCCTGGAGCCGCAGACAGGGCTGGGCTGGTAGCCAGATGGTTGGCTGGAGACTCTATTAATGACTTTTAACCAGTTCCTCCCAGGTCCACTCCCTGCTGAAAATTCCCATTTTCACACCAAGACGGGCCGAGTCCAAAGCACACTGTCCCCAGATTTCCCGCTGATGTTTCCGTATATGTAAGAATCGCTGTAACGATTCCATTGTCTGGTTGAAGAACGGTCTGAGGTCACAGGTGGCCCTGAGCAGACGGGTAGGGGCAGCTCAGAGGCCACTTCTCTGCCCCTAAGCCCCTTTCAGATGCTCTCTTGGTGGCTCAGTTGTTAAGCACTCAGCGGCTAACCAAAAGGTTGGCAGTTTGAACCTACCAGCCACTCTGTGGAAGAAAGGCGAGGCTGGTCCCATGAAGGTTTGCAGTCCCAGAAACCCTTGGGGCAGCTCACTCGGCCACAGGATTGCTGTGAGTTGGAATGTGTTGAACAACAGTGGGTTGGGGGAGTTTGGTTTTTGGTTTCAGTGTCTGTAGCCACTTCTACACCCCCGAGTTCAGCTCCAGCCCTGGTGCACATTCATGTTGGCTGTGGGACCTTCGGTTACATTCAGTCTGTGAAGGTTCAGCCACGGGTCTTGTCAACACCGGTGCTGGGTGAGGCGGCTCCACCCAGGGTGCATCATGGTCTTCTCGGTGTAAAGACTCACTTGGGGTGAGGGTGTAACACAGTGGCTAAGGACTCAGTCATTGTTGCTGTTGGTTGGATATTGTCAGAGTCAGTTCCGATTCACAGCGACCCCGTGCACAGCCAAGCAGAACACTGCCCGGTCCTGCGCCGTCCTCACAATTGTTACATTTGAGCCCACTGCTGCTGTCACTGTGTCAGACCACCTTCTTGGGGGTCTTCCCCTTCTTTGCTGACCCTCTGCTTTACCAAACATGGTGTCCTCCCAGGACTGGTTCCTGCTGATAACATGTCCAAAGTATAAGAGAGAAGTCTCATAAGCCTGGCTCTTATAGGCGCGCTCTGGCTACACTTCTTCCAACACAGATCTGTTTGTCCTTCTGGCCGTCCATGGTACTTTTATTATTCTCCAACACCATAACTCCAGTGCATCGAATTTTCTATGATCTTTCTTATTCACTGTCCAACTTTTACATGCACATGAGGCGATCGAAAGCACTGTAGCATGGTAGTGGTTTTCATTCTGTATTGAAGGAAAGTGATTTCGTTTAGCTATGAGGGGTAACTTTTGATGACACCGTTGTTTATTATGTTGTTGTAGTAGCTAAGTTCTGTCAAGTGACCCTGTATAGGGTTTCCACAGAGCAGGTGGTGTGTTTGAACCGGTGACCTTGCAGTCTAGTGCTTACCCTTCAGCGCCACACCAAAGGAGCTTTATTTCATATCGGTTTTCAGGCTCGCAGCTGGATGAGGTCAGCGCGTTCCTCTGGTCACAGGCAATAGGCCAGCCCATACTTTACAGCGAGAAAACAAACAGCTACCTCAGGGGCACAGATGGCTCTGTGGTGCTGAGTCCACAGAGAAAAGGTACCCGGGGGCCCTTACGTGACAACAGGCTCATAATTAGACCAAGTCACTTCTGTCACAGAGGCCCAGTAGGCTCGACTGCACACCAGGAAATGGGTGGCCCAAGTCCCCCCAGAAGTGCTGCGGAAGAAAGGTCTGGCGATCTGCTTCTGATCGGTCACACGGTCACAGCCACTGAGAACCCCGTGGGGCCAGTTTCTTCTCCACACACATGGGGCGGTTGTGCGTCAGAATCGACTCGTACTCTCAGGTGGCTAGCCGGTCTTTCTTGCACATTTCATTTTTGTTCTGTTGACGTTGCCTGTGGCATGTTCCGGACTAGGTGAGCTCTCTTTTTCTGTGCTCCGTCTGGTCTGTGTAACTTTCTTAAGCATCAGACTCAAGCTACAGGGTTTAATGGTTTGAGCCCACCAGCCGCTCCACTGGAGAAAGATGAGGCCTTCTGCTCCTGTGAAACCCTACACAGGGTCCCTGTGAGTTGGAAGGGGCTCGACGACACTTTAGAACAACACTTTGTTTATAAGAAAGCTGCTTGTATCTCCGTTTGTAGAGGGCAGCTCGAGTGGCAGACTCCTTAAGCTGTGAGCACACACATGGGGGATCCACGGTTCAGTTTCTAGGGCCATCGTGATGAGAAGAGTCCCTCCCAGGGAGACTCACCCTGGGGGGTCTGGGGGGCATAGGTAGCAAGTGGGGGCTGCTTCTCTTGATAAGGGGTACAGGGAAGGCCTTTCTGAGCTGGCTCAGTGGACGCAGGCCTTGAGGGTGGGCAATGTGGTCAGAGCAGCGTGTGGGGACAGTGCGAGGGGGCTGAAGAAACAGGCAGACCGTGCAATTCGGAGGAGTCGCTGGGATTCCCGGGAAAGCCTTGTCTTCTCCTCTCTGGAGAAAGGGACCAGGGGCTGGTGGCCATCATGGAGGCTGTGTGGGCGTGGTCAGCTCCATTCGGTGTTGGGTGAGTCTGCTCCGGTTCGGGTGCTGTGGTCATAGCAGGGGAATGCTAATCCGTAGGGGCTTCGAACTGGTTCTGGGCTAATCCCTCGTCTCATCATTCTCCAGTAGAATGGCTCGTCAGTTCAAACCATGTGGCTCTTAGTGGATAGCAGCCAACGTTTAAATCACGGTACCACCAGAACTCCTTACTAGGCTGTAAAAGGGCCCAGGAAATAAAGCTCTTGGGTTTACGGGATGTGGTAGTTTTACTTATTATGAGAATAGGAACTGGACTGTGAACCACAACATCGGCGGTTCAAACCTACCAGTCGCTTCACAGGAGAAAGATGAGGCTTTCTGCTCCCATATAGATTTTCCAGCCTCGGAAATCCTGTACCATCGCTGTGAGTTGGAACTGACACGGTCGCGGTAGGTTTCACTTATTTAGTTCTCAGCTGAAAAACTGTTTGGAAGTAGGTCATCGGATCAGCACCTCAGAAGAAAGACTTGGAGATCTGCTGCCATAAAGATTGTCGTTGTTAAGTACCGTGGAGTCGGTTCCAACTAGTGACCCTGCACAGGGTTTCCGAGGTTGTAAATCTTTACAGGAGCAGAACGCCTCATCTTTCTCTTGCGGAACCTCTGGTAGTTTCGAACTGCCGACCTTGAGGTTTGCAGCCCAATTTGTAACCACTACGCTACCAGAGCTCCTGCCATAAAGATTACAGCCTACTAAGACATGTGGTGTAGTTCTACTACTCTGCCACACGGGGTGACATGGAGTCGAAATCAAGTCAACACAGCAACAACATATGTGTATATACGAGGAGGCTCCAAAAAAAGTTTATGGACAAATAGAATGGAAAGATAATGGACTTTTTCTATGAAACTTTTGAAGGCTCTCTTATCTGTACACACACACACATTTAGAACATGCAGTGTTCGCGCATGTGCACATTCATATAGGCTATCAAGCAGGGGAGATGAAATAGTGAAGCGTCTTCGATTCCACTGGGCAGCTTGGCCAGGTTCTGTTATGTGAAATTACAAAGAGCATTTTCAGTCCAGCCTGGCTCTGTGGGAGCATGAACTTGGAGGCTTCGCTTCAGTGTCTTCCATGAAGGGAGATACGCAGATGCCCCTGGGCCCAAGGGCAGCGTGTGTTAGTGTTCGAGTGATTACGGACAACATGGGCCGACTCCAGATGTGGTTCTGCAGTTTGTTCTTGTTACTATCTCAGCTGCCTGACCCTCCTGGGCCTCAAAGTCAACATATCTGGGGCCAGCGATCCCGGAACTCACTGAGCCAAGACAAGACAGGGAGGCCCAGTCCCACACAGCCACGCCACAGGGGTCAGGCAAGAGTCCTGTGCTGTTCTGAATGTTCGAAGGTCATTCTGTGTCACCCATACTCAGCAGATGTAAGGAGGGGAATCCTGGCCACAGCTGGGCCTGTGTGCACAGTGGTTGGAGGGGCTCCCTCCACACCACATGCAGCCAACAGGGCTGGCCTCATCCCTACCTCGCTGAAATAAATGCCGCCCAGCAAAGCACAGTGCTGTTGTGAACCTGTCTCCCGGTGAACACGACCGGTTACTGTTAGAATCGCGTTCCCACCCACTGCTGCGGCCTCTGTGGTTCCCGTGACCACCAGGCACCTGCGTGGGGGGCCGTGAGGTCAGGGCAGAGCACAGGAAGGTGTGGGTCTCGGAGGGGAGATGTTTATGACAGTCATTACAGAGTCCTCTGTCCTAAGGCGTGGCTCAGGCACCCTCCCCACAACAGGGGAGGGTCTCCAAGCAGCTGCTTGATGTTGCCGCATGTCAGTCTCACTGTTTGTTTGGGTGTTTTGGTGGGGGTGGGGGGTGAGGAGGAGTACGGAGTTAGGGTCCGGACCACGCCTAGGTCTAGGGTTTTGTTGAGTTAGTGCCATCAAGTCAATTCCAACTCCTAATGACCCTGTATAGGGTTTCTGAAAGGAGCTCCGGTAACGTAGTGGTTACGAATCAGACTGTGAACCTCAGGGTCAGCAGTTTGAAACTACCAGCTGTTCCGCAGGAGAAAGATGAGGTTTTCTGCTCCTGTAAAGATTTACAGCCTCGGAAACCCTGTGCAGGGTCGCTATGGGTTGGAACCGACTCCACGGCACATCACAACAACAAAGGTTTCTGAAGAGCATCCGGTAGGTCTGAACTCACAGCCTTATGGTTAGCAGTTCGGAGCTTATTCTCCAGCACTGCACCAAGGGTCCTTGTGTATTTCTAGAGCTGTGATTAGACAAGGGTTAGTGGTGGAGTCCTGGAGCAGCTCTGTAGGATAAGCACTGGACTGCAAGATTGGCTATTCAAACTCATCAGCTGCTCCTTGGAAACCCTCGGCAGGTTCACTATGAGTCAGAACTGACTCACCAGCACTTCATAGCAGGGTTAGTGGTAGGGCTCAGGGTATCTAGCTATAGGGTTCAGTTTGATTTATTTATTTTTCTTAAGATCTACTTGATTTTTTTTAAGCTAAAAATTGCGTAATATTTTATTGCTGTTTTTCTTTCAATTGTTGATTTTACGCCAGAGGATTCTGGCAGTATTGATTGTAAGTGGTTTAAAGAGAGGAAAATATCAGTTTGCCATCTCTGTCTTTTTCAGAAGAATCCTCATCTTACTGGATTCTGTTCTGGCTATGCGTTGAATAAATTAATCTTATATGGACTAACTGTCTCTCAAGTTGGTTTAGTAGTTCTAGGGACTTTTTGGGTGGTGTAAATAATTAATATGCTAGGGTGGTAACTGATAGGTTGGAGATCAGAAATCCCCCAGAAATGTCTAAGCAAAACAGATTTTACCATCTTCATCCCAAAATCAGGTTTTGAAAATCTGTTAAGCACAGTTCTACTCTTACACACATGGGGTTGATTTCCTCTTCACCTGCAAGTTCTGTAACTACACCGCTCCTTCTTACCCTGAGGGGTCTTCGTTGCTGTTTGTGGTAACTCCATCTCAATATCCTCCCGGGGTGAGTCGCCTCTTGCCTTCTTCATTCACTGGGCCGTGGGGAAAAGGCAGCGACACCGCCAGCTGAGCTGATAGACCAAAGGCTGCTGTTGACCTTCTTCTTGCCATTGTAGGGTCCACAGACTGTGTGTGTTACTCAACTGTCGGGACCAACGACGCGGAGACGTCAGCCTTGCACATCATTGTCGGTAGGCTCATTGCTCATTTCCCTGGTGCCCATGGGTGGAGGTCCACGGTGCTCCTGGTCTCATCTGTGTGGTCACTCAGACATGCTCCATCTCCTTGTCCTCTGCTGCCCCGGTCCTTGCCCTCCACTCCATGTGGCCGCACCATTAACTCTTCTTGGGGTCCCAGCTCAATTGTCACCTGTCGGATGTGTCCCCCTTTTGCTCATGTACCCTCTGCCCATCGTCACCCCGTGGTACTTCTTCATGGGATCTGTCATTGTCTGAAATGCTCTCACCTGTTTGGCGTTTGCGCTACCCCAGCACACACACGTTCTGTTGGGGGGTGACAGTAGGCAGACGTTTCAGCTCCCAGTGGGTGTCCCTTCCCCACAGGAGACTCGCTTCCCATGGACGTGTCCTCGGTGCATCACAACAACACCCTGCTTCGATACTCGGTGTCCCTGCTGGGCTACGGCTTCTACGGGGACATCATCAAGGACAGCGAGAAGAAGCGGTGGATGGGCCTCATTAGATACGACTTCTCAGGTGAGTCCTAGCAGCCATGGGCCTTTACACACTCACAGATGGGGTTCCTGTGTTGCGGGCGCAGTGACCTCAGACCCGAGCTAAGAAGCTGGAGCAGCGGCAGCGGATCCCAGCCCTGTAGTGAGAGATCCCAGCCCCGTAGCGAGAAGAGCTCAGCCCCATTGCGAGAGATCCCGGTCCCGTAGCGAGAGATGAGTGTATCAGACCTGAGCCTGGACGCCGGGGTCCACATTCTTTGCCTGGAACCAGGCTCGGACAACTTGATAGACAGTTCTGAGTTCCGCGTCACAGGTCATAGATGGATTGAGACCCCGAGAAACCACGTCACCCACTTTCCCGTCTGTAAGGTGGCTTACAGCCAGCCATCTCGGACTGTGGACAAGGAATTTTTAACAGAAAATAGTAACTTTTAAAGTCGTGAGCGTTAGTGGTGAGGGCATGCTTATACGTTGAGCCGAAACTTCGACTGTGTTGATTCAGGTTCAAAGCCCTGCTGAGAACTTGCATTTGTCCCGGGACAGCCGGGTCCCCCTGTGATTCTGGCCCACATGTAAGGTGGGCCTGGCACCAAGTGGAGAGCTGGGAAGAGAGCCTTTCTTTCCCTCTTCTCGTGACCACGCCGGTTCAGATGTCGTCAGTCATCTGGGCCCTCGGTGCAGTGTCTGTGCCCGGTGACTTCACTCCCAGACAGGACATTCCCTGTGGACACTGCAGCCCTGACCTCTGAAGTGACAAGGACACAGTGTGGCCCCAGTGTGGCCTTCAGACCCTCCTCATGCCTGTGTCCACTTTGTGGGCCCGGCTGGGCTGTTTTCTCAGGACAGCTGGCCAGATTCCCAGCAGGCTTGCAGGGTGCCCAGCTCCAGAACGCCCGAGTGCCTCAGCCGTGCTGGAGGACTTAGGTGTGAGCCCCTGGTGGCACCATGCACACCTGGCAGGGGGCCCTGCTGTCCTGAGCCCTGGCACAGGTCCCAGTGGCCTTGGCCAGGCCGGGCTGAGCTAATGAGGACAGTCTAGCAGGGAGGTGCCAGGGCCTCACCAGCCACCGATGCCCTAGGGTGAACTAAAGCCACTCAAGGGTCCTTGAGACAAAGACGTCCACTCACAAGCCTGGTCATAGCCAGGTCCCTCCACCTTGACCCTGGTGGCCGTTCCCAAACCCATGTGGACACCACGCCTTCTGAAAACAGGACTTCCCTGGGAATCCTGGGTGTTGTGTAGGTCCAGAGTCACCGTGTCATAACCAGAGTGACCCCGCTCTATCCCCAGGTTTGAAGACATTTCTCTCCCACCAGTGCTATGAAGGAACGGTCTCTTTCCTTCCGGCCCAGCACACAGTGGGCTCCCCGAGGGACCAGAAGCCCTGTCGGGCGGGGTAAGTGCTTCTCTTGGTTTCTGGGAGCCGCGGGGTATTTCCCTGTGACAGAGGTGGGCACAGATGGGCGAAGGGGCTTCAGAGAGTCCACAGGGAATTTCCATTCTCTTGTAATTCCACGTTTCCACAGACTTTCTGAATGTGTGTGCAGGACCCTGTGAGGCAGACAGCATGGTCCCTGGGCTATGGGGAAGGACACACATGAGAAAGGCAGACCCCCTCTGCTCAGCACCTGGTCCCTACCTGGGAGGGAGCCCACTCCTATGCCGTGTGAGCCCCAACTCGGGGCAGGGAGAAGGCAGCAAGAGGCCCGAGGGGGTGGGGTGCAGAGGGGAGCCAGCGGGCGTCATCCCAGGTGACGGGGAAGCCATGGCCCCCGCCAGGCCACAGTCCTGTCACAAGCACTGTGAGGTCAGGAGACAACATCCCAGGTTCCCAGGAGGAAACCTGGCCCCTGGGAGCAGAGGTGCAAGCAGAGGTCGAGGGTGGGGGGGCGGGGGGCTTCCACTGAAGCCTCCTCTTCATCAGCCACAACCCCAGGGATGGGCATGAACAACACCCCCAAAGGTACAGCCTGTTCTCAGACTGCAGAATCGACGTCCCCGGAGTCTCCACATCCTTTAAGTCCCTTCATCTATGTAAATCAGAGCCTGGTGGCACAGGGGGTTAAGCACATGGCTGCTAACCGAAAGGTCAGCAGTTGGAACCCTCTAGCGGCTCCGTGTGCACTTGTAAAGACTACAGCCTGGGAATCCCTACCGGTCAGCTCGCCTCTGCCCTCCAGGGTCACTAAGAGCCAGAGTGGACTCTCCAGCAGCTGGTTTGGATTCCTCAGATCCAGGTCATTCGGACGGGGGTCCTCCTTCATTCAAGTCCCTCCCTTCTTCCCCTACAGCAACTATACATTTTAGAGGGGAACGTGCCTGCCGAAAATAGCTTCTAAAAGTGTGCCTACTTTCAGGAATCGAGATGACTACCTTACAAATAGTACTTTGAGCAAAGGTGCACTGCTTATTATGTGGGAAGAGAGGAGCATTTGTGTGTGTGCCCGCTGCGGGCACCACGTTGCTGGCACACACGTTGAAGGAAGGATTGCGGTCTTCTGTCTTGCAGGTGTTTCGTGTGTAGGCAAAGCAGACAGCAGCTGGAGGAGGAGCAGAAAAAGTCATTATACGGTTTAGAAAACACGGGTAATCTACGCCACAGAGTCCATCCTGTGTCCTCCTGTGTGGTGGTGTTGTTGTTAAGCGTCACCGAGTCAGTTCCATCCCATAGCGACCCTGTATAGGGTTTCTAAGAAGCAGCTGGTGAGCTTGAACCACTGACTTTGTGGTTCAAACCGCCTTTGCAGCTCAGCGCTTGAACCCACACGCCACCCCAGGACTCCTCGCATGTTTCAGACATTGTACAGAAAGCCTTTTTGCTTCCTCTCAGTACACTGTCTTGTCTGCTTGTCTGTCTTGTCTTTCTTGTTTTCCTTTGTTGCACTGGGGTCGCTGTAGGATAAGCTCTGGACTGCTGGCCACAAGGTCATCCATTTAAACCTACCATCCCCTCTGCAGGAGAAAAACAAGACTGTCTGCTCCTGTGTGGTTTTTAATTTTTTTGAGATTAACGTCTCAGAAACCCTAGATGGGTCACAGTGACCTGATGGCAGTGGGTTTGTGTGTTTTTGTTTCATGAACGCTACACATCTGTTGTCTGTACCGCTCGCTCCAGCCTGCAACAATCATAGTCATTTACCAGACAATACACTGTATGGAAACTCCCATGTACCCTTGCAACAAACAACACCAAACCCTGCCTCCCACAGCCATCACCATTCATGCATTTGGGCTCAGGAATTCAATGTAAGGGTCACTCAGAACTCAGGCGCTGTCCTCCCAGGTGTGGGGTCCATTAGGGAAGTGGACAGTTGAGAGTGCAGGGCTACAAATGCTCAGGGCACAGGTCTTCCAGTCAGGACAGTCTCTGCCCACAGGCAAGCCTCTCCCTGGTCTGTGGTCTCTCACCCACGGGCAGCTTGGTCTCTGCCCTATTCCAGTACTGTTACTAAAGCTCTTTCAGGGCTGCTGATAAATGCTCAGAGGGAACACCACTCCGCACACGGCTCTGGCTCCGTGGGTCAGCAAACCTAACTCCCCCGGGTCTCTCAGCTGTACTGGGTCCCTGGGCTGATTCTTGGTTCTGCTGCTGTGGCTCCTCTGCCCCTCCTCCGGTGTCACAGCTGTCTGTCCCGGGGCCGAGAAGGTGTGATACGCAGGGAGCACGGGGTCTAAAGGCCACACACACTCCACTCACTCCTAATGACGTTTTCTTTGATAGTAATGATAGTTCCCTTCCTGTTTCTGAGATTCTCATTACAATCCCAGTGTCAAGTGAGCAATCAGGGAACTGTTTTGTGTGGTGTGAAAGTTACATGGAATTCAGTGTTCAGTGTCTATATTTTTATTAGTACCCAGCCTGTAAACCAGCGGATCACATCATGTTATCAGCATCTTCTCCCACCATCTCTCACGCAGATCCATCAGGAAAAGAGTCGTTTGGTGGGAGTTACAGAGACTAAGGCTGGAAGAGACGTTAAGTAATTCACCATAGCCCTGTCTTGCTGTGAGTTAGTGAGGTAACGTTAAGCCAGTCCCGTGAGGCCCGTGGCCTCGTGGCCTTGTAGTGCTGTGTGTGTTTTCTGGGAAAGTCCAGATGCACATTACACGGTCTCTGCCGTGGGCAGTGGGCGAGGCCAATAAAACTTTATAGACACCACCCACTAGAGTCTACGTAACTCACACAGCACAAAACAGGATCAGTGTTCTTTGGACTTTTCCCCAACATGTAGAATCCATTTGTAGTTTACAGGCCACACAAAATCAGGTGGCGGGTCAGATTTGGCCCACGGGCCATTGTTTGCCAATGGTTGTCCCGTATCATCCAAACATCAGCCCATGAGGGTCCATGGAAACACCCCTTCTTTGTCAGGGAGCACCACTGTGAGCTTTGTTGTCAGTATAACTTCAGGTGAGTGCAGGCAGGTAGCCGTCAGGTGAGCAGTCTGCAAGTAGATTCTGTTGACCTCAATGACCCTGGAGGGTGGTCCGACCCCAGCTCCTTGGGGATGAGGACACTGAGCCCACACACCCCTGTCTTGAAATGTCTGTCGTCCTTTTCCTGCTTTCAGAGGAGGTGGAGGAGTGGAAGGTGGTCTGTGGTAAATTTCTGGTCATCAACGCCACCAACATGTCCTGCGCCTGCCCCCGGAGTCCTGGGGGCCTCTCCCCAGCCGCCCACTTGGGGGATGGGTCTTCCGACCTCATTATCATCCGGAAGTGTTCCCGGTTCAACTTCCTGAGGTTCCTCATCAGACACACCAACCAGTACGACCAGGTAAGTGATGGTGGGTCATCCACACGTAGTGCGCTTGATTCAGACACAGGGTTGTCGCTGGCTGCCACCAAGTTGACAGCGCTGGAATCCTGTGCACCATAGACCACCCTGCTGACATGTGAAATCCCCGTGACTGAGCCCAGTAGTCCATTGTTTAATCCAGAACGAAGAACCCAGATTGTGATGGTGGTACTTTCATCTCACTGAGTTTTCAACGCTTAATCACAGCTGCCTGTAAATTAATACTTACAATTGCAAATCCTGGATGGCAGAAACAAAGAGGCGGGAGTGTTCTTCTCCGTCTTCCTGCTTGCGCTTCTCTTGCTGTGTGTAAACTGAGCAAGAGAGCAGCGGTGTTTGCAGCACCCAGATAGGCTGTTTCCAAGACAACCTTCCAGTTCTCACACATGGGCTGTGGTCGGGCTCTTCATCGGCGCATCTGTGATGTCGAGAGAATGGATGTATTTGGTGATGGTCTTTATTTTTGGTGAAAATGTTTACTTGGATTATCCTTTAAGATCTAAGCCAACGTGAGTTTTATGTGCTTGCTATAAAGATAACAGAACATTCTACACATCATTCCTGACCAACTAGAGAGTCCTTTCATGGTTCTTGCCATTGTGGATGAGCTGTGATTCTGGAGGTTTTGGGAGGGCCCAACGCCATCTCTGATAGGTGAGAGTTACTGACCAGCCAACCCATGGCTCAGATACCCCGGGATGTCACTCTTGCTCTCACTCTCTTGGCAGTTTGACTTCACCTTTGTTGAAGTTTACCGCGTGAAGAAGTTCCAGTTTACATCAAAGCACCTGGAAGAGGAGGACAGGGACCTCAGGAAGGGCAGCAAGAAGCGGTTCGGGCAGCTTTGCAGTGAGAATCCTGCATGCTGCTGCCCCGCCTCTAACAGCACCTGGAACTGTGATGGGGAGGTTCTCAACAGCTCTGCCATCGAGGTCAGGTGAGCACAGGCTGGCCTGCAGGTCAGGTGAATGTAGGTGGGTATGATTGGGTGTATAAAGGTGCATTCTCCGTCACGTTAGCACGTGTGGTCAGTTAAGCAGAGGTGGGCCGTTGGGACAGCCTCCTGTACCCACTGAGCTGGGTTAGTCTGTGTGTCCCCATAGAGAGGACCACAGGTGAGTGATGCACCAAGTGCTCCCAGAGCAGGGTGACACCTACGTCCCACGATCTAGAACATGCTAGAAAAGTGCACCATGAATGCCTTTTGGTTCCCTTTTACGAACCATCCGATGAGATGGCGTTGTCTCGGTTTGGGGAAGTTGCTAGGGTGTGCAATCAGTCAGGATGCATTGTGTTTTGCAGCTTATCGCTGTGGCTTTGTTTATAATGGTGGCGAGTCTCTCAGTGTCTTAGGTCTCACATGTTACTGTAACACAAGGACTACAAGTGGGCTGCTTTCTTCCCGCATGTTGAGGACGCTAGACATTTCAAGTACCAGCTCCAGGGGAGGGCTTTGTCGCTGGGTCAGCTCTGAGGAAAGGTCCTTGTCTCCTTTCAGCATCTGTGGCCTTGGAGATCTCCATGTGTCTTGGCGTCAAGCTTCTGCTGGGTCTAGAAGGTTCTTAGCTCAGGGCTTAAAGGATGCACTCCATTTCTGGCTCGTCTCTTTTGGTGGTAGGAGGTCCCTCTGGTCTCGGCTAGCTTGTTTAATCTCTTTCATATCTCAAAAAAGATTAGCTTGAGATAATACTTAATCACGCAGACCGTGCCCTGCCCCAGCAGTCTAACTGCCTCATTTACATTCACGATGGTGGTGGTGTTGGTAAGTGCCATTAAGTTGGTTCCAACTCATAGCAACACCATATAGGGTTTCTGAGGAGTGCTGGTGGGTTTGAACTGCCTACCTTGCAATTAGCAGTCCAGTGCTTATCTTACAGTGTCACAACAGAACTCCGTTAACATCACAGACGTTAGGATTAACTGCACATTGAGTAATTATACCCCATCACAAAATGAAGGCTGACCCATCACAGAAATCACAAAATGGAGAGTAATCACATCACATAATACTGAGAATCATAGTCCAGCCAAGTTCATGTGTGTTTTGGAGTTTGGTAACAATAGCAAACAAACATTTCCCATGTGGACAGCTCAGCATGCTGGTCATTGTCATTCTGCCACTGTCTACTTGTCCGATGTCTCCTCGTGCCCTCCCTACCTTCCCCGACACCAGCATGGGTCTCCAAAGTGGAACCACCATCACGATGCTTTCTTAGCCCTGGACTCGCTGTCCAGGCCTTAAGGAGCCCCAGTCCCTGGCATAGACCACAGTGGGAAGGGGGAGCGCAGATGCTCGGAGGAGGGAGGCAGGAGGTAGAGGGGAGTAACATCAGGAAGACGGGAGTTCGGAGCCAGGAGACTGTCCTACCCCCTGGCTCCTTGTGCCCAGAGGAGGGTCTTAACCACACTCAAGGGTGGGCACTGGAGACACTAATGAGGCCCGGGTGCCACTGGAGTTCCCCACACAAGTGCACTGACTTGTCAGCCATGGGGCTGGGAAACAGTGTCAGGTCTCATTGTATTTGGTCCTGGGAGTTGGTGTTGGGGTGGAGCCCCGTTACATAACTGGATGAAATGAGAGCCCAGAGAAAGGCATTATCTTGTAATCGTCTTTGTTTTTAATGGGTTGAAGCTTAATGGTTTGGAAGGACACAATGAAAGCAAAGCTGTTAAAGAGTGTGGCATCAGGTGGCAGGATGGTATGAAATGGGAGAAATAAAGAGGCCTGGAAGTTTTTTGCTGGCTCTTTCACACCTGTCTCAAATCCAGATTCCATGGGAAGGTAGCCTGTCAGCCCTTCCCCCTCCCCACTGACCCTTTCTCCACACCGAACAGGGAAGTGTCTACAGGCCCGGGTGGGTGGTCAAATGGCTTCTGCCACCAGCATCCACACAAGGTGATGGAGGGGGTGCCCCCCACCCACCCAAGGCCTGTGTCTGCTGGCCCTGACCTGGGTTAGCAGCCGGTGCTGGCCGCCTGTCCTCACTCAGAACCACAGAAGGACCCAGAGAGCCCACCGTGAGCTCCGTGGACTTAAGTGTGTACGTTAAGGAAGCAGATCACTCTGGTTGCGTCTTATGTTGGTGCTGAAGAAACAGGATGCTCTGAAACGTAGGAGAAGCATTCTTTCATGAAAGTACAATGCCTCGTGCAGAGCATGAATGCCGTTTGGGGGTTTTATTACAAACCCACTGCTGAGGCGGCTTCATTGTCAACAATGAAATCAAAGGTGCCTTCACTTTGGTGTGTGGAGGGGACCCTGCCCCAGAACTTGCTGTTGTAAAAGGCAGGGCTCCCCACAAGGGGCCATGAACCCTCAGCCTCAAAGAACCCAGTCACTGCCTGCCCCAGAGTCAGGTCCCCAGGAGGAAGTGTGTGTGGTGGGCCTTCTTTGTCCTTTTCCCCCATTTCTTTTCTCTCTCCCTTCCTCTCTCTTTTTTTGTGGGCAATCAGACAGTCAGGTCTGTGAAAGCCAGAACCTGGGTCAGGCAGAAACCTGTCAGACAAGGAAAACTCAAATATTTCCCACTGACGTGAGCGATGAGACGTGGCTGGACTACACCCTGCCGACGGCAGAACCTGGCAGGACCCCAGAACTCGGCTTCCCAGAGGCTCACTGCTCACGACACAGATGGCTCACTGTGTTCGCATTCTCCACACAGAGACCCAGACATATTCCCACATGCCTGCTCTGAAGCTTCATGGGGGGCTTTGTCTCCACGTTACCGAGACGGGACGGGAAGGGGGACTGCTCAGTAACTAGCAAGCAGGGTGTTGGAATTAGTCCCACACTTTCCTTGATGGCCCCAAACCCAAACCCGCTCCACTGCCGTTGGGTGGACAGACTAGGACTGGGCCATGGGGTTTCCAAGGCTGTCCATCTTTACAGAAGCAGACTTCCTCATTGTGCTCCCATGGTGTTGCAGGTGGGTTTGAACCGCCAACCTTCTGGCTAAGAAGCTGGTCCCTTAATTCACTGTGCTACCAGGGACCCACCACTCACCCATCACATAGATGGGCCCGCTCAGGAATATCCGTCGGTCACGGTAGCCCCTGACCTACAGTGAGGGGCTCAGAGGTGGCCAGGTGTGGGCTTCGCTGGGCTGCATGAGGTTTCAGACGTGGCTGTTTGTCTCCACAGGGTCCACTGCCAGCTGGTTCAACTCTTTGCCCGTGGGATCGAAGAGAATCCAAAGCAAGCAGTGCAGAGCTGAGGTGCCCAGCACACTGTCCACCCTCCTGCTGCACCAGGGCCAGCGTGGGGGTTACTGAAGGAAGCATGGATAGACCAATGTGGCGCTCCAGGCACTGACCCTTAGGTGTTTATTTTTGATAGTTCCATCCTGATTTGAGGCCCTCGCTCTCAACATCCCATGCGTACTTGGCATCTTGAGTTCCTCGAGCTTCCTCGGGCTTCACATTGTCTTCCCAGCAACCAGCGGTGGTGTTTCATAGGCCTAAACAACAGCTAGCTCAACATAGCGGCCCTCCCGCCATGATTTTAGGAGCATGATTACCGAAGCAGTTTCTACTGAGGCCACCCCATCCGGCAGGGGCCACTGTGAAAAGGCGCGAGATGTGGCCTGTAGTGGTTTGTGGTCCAGTTTGGGAGGCAGTCGGTTCTCCGCCTACCTTCCGTCTTCCCCCTAAGTTATGATCGCAGCTTGACCCCTGGCCCCTTTCTGTACTCCGCAACCATGATGCAGCCACACAAGACTTAGACCATTCTAGCAGTGAGGCACTCGTTAGGAGTTATAATTCTTTCAAACTTCAACTCTTGCTTCCAATCCTAGTCTTGTCTCTGAAACAACTCAGCTGGCAGCAGCAGGCCCAGGGGTTTGCTCTGCACACAGGTGCCAGAAGCAGGGGGTCTCGGCCACGGGGGCCGTTTGTCAAGCACTGGCAAGGTTCTGACTGACATATACTTAAGAGACTGATGCTTTAAAAATAGACACTTGAAGGAGAGAGAGAGGAATAGCCAGAAACGTCACCATAGAAAGCTTGTAAGTCAGTCTTCAGCCTATAACTGTTTGGAATACCTCAACTGGGGCTAGAACCTGCCCAGTGAAGGAGGCTTCCTGTGGAGCCTCTGCATTGCATAAGACCACAGGTGGAATTCTGATCCCCATCCAGAATCTTCAGAGGTGGGAAGTTTCCACTTGAAAGGACAAGCAGACCAGCCTGGAGCAGCTAGAAGAACAGAGGGTATTTCTTGAAAGACCAGCAGGAAAAATCAAAAACAGTAACAGCAGTCCAATTGACAACTACAAGAACAAGCAAGTTGTTCCCCAGGGAGCCATCAAGGCAAGTAATCAGGTCCCCTCAGGGCAAACCCCCTTCCAAGACTGAAACTCAAATCGACTACACGAGCAGGCATATGGTCCTGCTGCTGACATGAAGTTGTGAACTAAGTCCGACCACATTCAATAGACTCCTGTTAACCTGGATTGAGACCTGGTTAACCAGCAGTATGATGAGACCTGAGGACTCCTGGGCCCGGGGCAGGGACATGGCCCCAGAGGACTAGAACGGAGTGTGAAGCATCCAGCTGATAAGAAGTGAGGGGGGATGCACAAGAACACCCACACTTACAGATAGTACCCATTTGACCTGGCATCAACAGCTGGAAGATCAGAACAGGACTAGAGGAAGAAAGAAGAGGAAAAAAAAAAAAAATCATAACCCACTACACGTGGATGAACTTGACCTATGCTTGTGGATGCAGTATGAAAAGGAGCGGACAAATCTCTGCAGTGAGGATCATTCCCATTCCCTTGGTACAGAGGGTCGACAGGGATGGGGGAACTTAGACACTGGCTACCCGAAATGGGGGGAGGGGACTACAAAGGCAAGAAGTGACTGGCTTATAGGCTTTCAATAGGGAACCTAGTTCCAGAGGGTACGGGAAAGATAGACTCTCCACTGAGTTGTTTCCAACCTATCTGGATGGGGCTGATAAAAGGTGTTGGGGATCAGACTCCTGTGGTTCAATAGGAAATGATTGCTATCAAGTCTGACAGTGAGTGTTAGAAAGGTAAATGTAAATGTTTTGGGAATAGCTGATTTTGCAGTCCAGGAGTGGAGATCCCCGGAACCATCAAAGGAGGGAGAAAAGCGAAGTGCGGGACCCTGTCCGGGGAGAAAGTGACACCAGAGATGGAGGCAGACAGAGATGATGATGTGGAGAGAAGGAGCGGCTGGGGACTGTGGACTCAGGGAGGGAGAGGGGCTGTGGGCTGGCAGCCAGGAGGCAGGTGTGTGGGGTACACCCTCTGGATGTTTGATGATGCATGCAGGGAATTGTAATCATTGCAATGAAATGAAATACGATAGGATGAATGTAAGGATAACGGATAATGTTCTCCCATGTAAACTAATACATAATTCACAATAAAAATTAAAAAAAAAAAAAAAGATACTGATGATTTAGACCAACACAAAGTAGGATTCAATACAGCTAGGCTTCAGGAGGAAGGTGGGAAGAGGTTGGCATAGAAGAGGTTTAAAAAAAAAAGCCCCCTGTGAATTCTTTGTGGACTGGAGGAACAAACACAGGCCGGGATTATGACTGCCATTCCAGCCACGTGGGGTCTGTGGTGCCGCCTCCGCAGACCCCGCACGCAATCCAGACTTCATACTTATTCCTGTGTGTTTATTGAACGTCTTGCCCTGTCCAGCCCGAACATTGTCCATGTTGTCTTCTTTGTCTGTTTTGTCTCTGACCCCTGGCCTCGGAGCACAGGGCTGCAGGAGGGCTAGAGGAGACCCCCTGAAGGCATTCCTCCTTGAAACCCAGTGCCACTGTTTGGCCGTGGCTCCGTCCTGTGTGATTTCTGTCTATATCCACAGAGGCTCTGGTTTGAGGTGGGGAGAGAGCTGTCTTGGGGGCTGTCCCATGACACTGGCAGAGTGGACAGATGATGCAGCTGGTCACTTTAATGCTGGGCAGTGTCGCTCAGCAGTGGACATCGTGAAGGATAAAGGACCCATCAGGATAAAGGGCAGCTCCCAGGGGGCAGGCAGTGGACACCTGTGTCCCTGGAGGACACGCATGCACAGTGGTCCCACAGGACCAGAGTGACATCCTGGACCCAGGGACAGGGGTCTCTGGGGAAGGAGCCCTGGAAACCTTCCGTGCTGCTCCTTGAAATTGTGTTACCTCACAGGGTCCCCCTGAAACTGTATCTCAGTCTTTATTATCCTTGGCACATTCCTTCCAAGGCATGTTGTTGTTATGTGCCATCAAGTCAGTTCCCACCCATAGTGACCCTGCATAAGGTTTCCAAGGAGCAGCTGGTGCGCTTGAACTGCCGACCTTGTGGTTCAAAGCAACTTTGCAGTCCAGCACATTAGCCCACTGCACCACACCAGGCATGGTCCACCCTAAAACCCACTACTAATTTTAAAGAAATGGCTCAGGTGAAGAGTAAGCATTTTATACTCAACAAGATGCCCTGGACATGCTATGGAATCAGTTTTGGGATAGCTAAGGACCTTTGGTAGGGTAGTGGTTACGAATCGGTCTGCAAACCTTAAGGTCAGCAGGTCGAAACTACCAGCTGTTCCGCGGGAGAAAGATGAGGCTTTCTGCTTCCGTAAAGATTTATAGCCTCGGAAACGCTGTACAGGGTCACTGAGTCGGAACCGACTCCACGGCACATAACCACCACCATGGTCGTTTTGCCTACTGCACGCTGACATTCATAAGGGCATGTCTGGAAGCTCCTCTGGGCTCGTGGTGGGACTGACTGTACGAGCCCCCAGATGACCCCCTCAGAATGACCTGGCCGCTCAGCTGGACCACCCACACCAGCCCTTAGGGGTTTTAAGAAAGAGAGTAGGTGGTGGTCACCGAGAAGATTTAGTCTGTTTTAAATGACTCCCTTACTCATCGGTGAAACGCAAACAGACACTAGACAGCTGTGAAACTTGTAGGGACATTGTAGCTTGGGTTTGATGTCTTCCTTAAACCAGTCTTGTATGAGCGGGAAGTGTCAACTGGGAAGGGTCGCTCAGTTCTCTTTCTCATCTTGGCGGTTCCAAGATTAGAAAGTGGGACATTGGCTCTGAAGTGTCTGATGAGACAAAAATAAAGTGACTTTGGGCAGAACGTGGCTTCTTCCTTTCCCAAATTCCTCATTTTCAAGAAGAGTCTTCCCTCTGGAAACATAGCATTTATACTTGGCTTTCCCTGTTTTTGAAAATGTATTTTGCTGTTGAGAATATGCACAGCAGGACACATGCCCGTCCTGCTGATTCCCCAAGGACAGTTTGGTGACAGGAGGACATTTGTCCATTTGTGCAGCTCTTCTCAACCCTTCCTGTTCTGAGCCATCTCTCCCCATTTACAGTGACTCACTGCCCCTGTAGGTTCCTAGCTAGCTCTTACCAGTTTGACCCCAGCTGGATGGATCCTAACGGAGCACACTGTTGAACGCAGTGTCTTCATTAGCAGAGCTAAACAATCCGAGTTTTATTGTGCTTTGAGTGAAAGTTGACAGAGAAAATTGGTTTTGCATCCAACAGTACAGACGCATGTTGCTTCAAGAATATTTGAAAGCGAGACACAGTGCAGCCCCTGGCCACACCAAGAAACTGAACTGTGCCCAAGCTGTCCGCTGCCCCTCACGCCCCTACCACTTCTCACGGTCTCTTATCAATGTGATTTTGCTGTAAGCAAGATGGTTGTGTGTGACATTTTCTGTCACTTGCCTTTTCACGGATGATTTTTGGGTGCCTCCACGTGGGCATGCAGAGCTGGGGTGGTGGTGGCCCGGTGGACTGGTGGTCATGTACACAGTGGCCCCCCCGTATAGGTTTCCAAAGCTGTAAATCTTTTCAGGAACAGGAAGCCTCATGTTTCTCCTGGGGAGTGGCTGGAGTGGCTTGTACTGCTATCTTTGTGGTTAGCAGCCTAATTGTACCTCTTTCCCACCCACCCATTCCTCTGGGACCCTGGAGTTGGTTCGGCGGGCGCAATGCTAGATGTGGGCAGTAGAAGGTACTGTAGGGACCCTGGCTCAGCACCAGGACCACACAAGATTCCAGCATGTCCCGTCCTCTGCGGCAGGGTCTTCTAGATCCTTCCAAGGTGCCTGCCCTGTCTCCATCTGTGATTCTTGTCTGGTGGCATTATCTTACTCCTTAGTAGGCGGCTTGGAGCCCTGGTGGCACTTTGCTGCTAAAGGAAAGTTTGGCGGTTCGAACCCACCCA